TATGAAATTGTTATTCTGGAACATTCTGGAAGCGTTGCTCTGGAGGAGAGAAACAACTTGTGTAGTTTTTTTCTGTGTGGCCGTCGAGATTGCGTCATTTCCCTGTAGCACGCGTTGTGAATTTTCCTAATTTTCCCCGTGCGTTACCTGGGCCGTTTTGACCGCCGCTTGTGGTCATTATCTTAGGTAATTTTATACTGTATGCGCATTTCGTGTTTGCACGGTGTTTTTTGGCAACATTCCTTTTGGTCACTCTTTTGAGAAACCACGACGATTCTCTTCGTTTGGCGGCGTATTTGGGGCAGCGACGCACTCTCTTTGGTAGATTGGTTAAGCTGTTTAGTTAGTCGCATTTTGTGAGGTGATTTTACTGATTTTATTGTGACAATGTGCACTTTAATCATTGCATTTACCCCACCTTGTTTGTGTGCGTGTTTGGGTACATGCATGTGTGTTTGTACTGAGTGGTGATTTAGTATTTACTGTGTGGACGTTGTTGACTTTTCCCATCCACACGCCCTGCTTTTTGTATAGCGTGGGAACTGCTGTGGGCGGCATTTATTGCTTTGTTGGAGGTACTTTATTTGCATAGCAGTCTATAGCAGTATAGCAGTGCTTGAGCGTTAGGCACTGTCAGGTTAATCAGGTTAATTTAGTTAGTGACTAGGCAAGGTCCTGGCGGATTAATTTGATATAGCGCCACTGGGTTAATATTGTATAGCATTTACTAGCAGGCTTTGCTATATTGTGCTTGTTATATGGTGAGGTTCGTATTGACGTTATTGCATTAAATCAACAGTATACCTGTCTCTGTTTATAACTGAAATATATGTGTTGGCTGAATTTTTGGGTTGACTGACTCATTCTCTGACTGTATCTACATACCAACTTCTCTACTCGGGACCCTCAAGTCTGTTATTGGTACGCGAGATAGCCCCTGTGATTTTGAGGAGGAAGACGATTATTGGTATACTGCAGAGATTATTTGGATTGGTGAACGGAAGTTTCATCATCTGCAACATTTTGGAACCCATTTTCTTATCTCCAGTTTTCAAGTATAGCCCTAGACACATATTGAATACAATAAAAGCTCTGCTTGTTTTTGTGTAATAGACAAAAATCATTAACTTAGTCTGGCGATTTTAAAGTTTGGACCCCCCCCCCCCCTATAAAAAAAATCCTGTATCCGCCCCTGTATGTACACTTTTTGTACTCGTAATTGACACATACATCAGTCCTTCCGACAAGGTAATTTACTCATTTACTTGTTACAATTTAATTAATACTAACATAGTTAGAAGGAACTATTCAATAGAATCGTTCCGATGATATGGGCGTTAAGGAATATAACCAATAAATGGCTCGGCTGTTTCGACAAGTGTGAACAATTAGTTATCTTCATCAAAATTTGTCAAATCGTCCCTGAGATCATCTTTGTGACTGGGTTGCTGTAATTGTTTACACAGTTTTGCATATTTCTACAGCACTTTATGAAACCTTGCAGTCAGTTGTTTAGCTCTGATGGATTGTTTTATATATTCTTGTCAGTTGTTTGTTGCATGTTCTTAGATTTGCAAATTCACAACACATCTTGAATTAACTCATTAGGTCGTTATTGAACATATGTATAATATGTTATACTTGTTAACAGATGCGCAAACTTTGCATTTTATCTACATTGTATATTATGATCTTTTCTAAAAAAAATATAGTCGGTATTACATGTACCCGTAAAAGCATCTGAAGGACAAAAGCCGAAACGGCTTTACAAACATTTTCATGTGGTTGTAAAATCTTCTCTCTCCTCAAATATTGCCCCTATTGTTTTAAGTGTACGCTCAGTAACGTAATATCATTAATATTGCTAATTTATTTACTCGCATTGTGCTATGAATTGATCAAGTGCTCATTATGACAAATGTGTCAGTAATGAGCAAAACGGAATATCGCAACTTACATGCTAATACAATCATACAAAGAGCATACAAAAATGAATGTAACGGCGGTCTCAGAGTGGGCAGCCTAACTTCTCCGACTAGCGCCCTCTTCAGTACATAATATAATATGTGCATCATTTGGTTGATATTTGAGTTTACATGTCGAAACTCAAACTATTTTGAACTGTCGTTGAGGGCGATAGAAGAATTCATTTACCAGATACTAGTACAAGACAAACATATTGACAAATGCACCTAGTGTATTTTATTACTTATAAACACTATACGTAAAACTGAGCTTTTGCAAAAGACAACATTCACTGTAATTTATACTTGGAACATTTTACGGAAATTCATACTATTTTTTCACTAGCATCAAATTCATACTGGAATTAATATTCAAATTTAAGAAGAATTTTAAAGATACTGTTTAGACGAAAACACATATTTCGTAAAATTGTTGTTTGATCATGTATATGATTATCATTGGATTATCATTTATTAAAAACAAAAGTAGGATTTTGCAGTACACATAACAGTATTCATTTGATGTAACCAAACGAATACGCAAACTAATACGCATGCGCTGTGATTGTTATCGTATGTATCAACTAATTTGCGCACATGCGTACAAGTTAATCCGTAATGCAACTTTACAAATTGTTTTTTATAAATCTAATAGAGCAAGGTGATAAAATCTAAGCATATTCCAAAAAACTGGTTTTGGATAACATAATTGCAATTGTAGAACGTTTTGTAAATACAATCTCCGTATAGCAATCTACAATGACACCTGTTTAAAGTGGGAGGGTCATCACCTGCGCACGCGCGGGAATTGAGTCCCAAGCGACGATAACAACACACGCTAAATACGCAAAGGCTCATGGGTAGACGCTCGTTTTTAAACAATCATGACGCGCTAAGGCCAACTGATGCATGCGCAGGTGACGACTCCGCCGCTTCAAGTCATTAGCACAAAATCAAAAGGTTCATTAATTATATATTAATCCATTACAAACTGAATCTCTATTTGATCGATTCGCATTTCGACCATTCACAAGTGATTATCAATTTAATTCTGGCAGCAGCTGTCCATAGACTCAGAGTGTTCTTTTTCTTTGTTCCATTGATACTTTTCTCGCAAGTTGACAGAACATTTAAAAGCACCTTATGGACCTTGCCTACCTTTCAGTCTAGTTCTACTACATAGATATACTTTAAGGCAAGGCCCCGTTTTGTGATAAAAATAGTTGTTACAGAAGATGGGAAGCCCTTTTACAGAAAATATGATAACTAAATTAAATATTATAAAATTTTACTTGGGTACGTAAACATATAAACAACCTACAATTGATGGTCAGACTTGATAATGATTACATTGATATACAAATTGAAAGCATTACAAAATTTGCATATTAAGTTATCATACTATGACGCTATTTTGCAATACGGCATAGTAGAGTGATACGACAACGAGGTCGTCATCATTATTCACATAACTGACACGTGTAGAAAGTAACATTTTTATACATCTTTTCCAATACGTCGCGCTCTCCGACGGCGAAGAACTGCGATGTCAAAATGGCGTAGATGCGATTCCTGAAATGTACAACTCAGTTTGGTTGTGTATTTTCGTTACATAGAATATAGTAAAAATCAAATCAGAACAATATTGATGCTGTAAATGGTGTTCCATTCACCCAATTACGTCACAAAAAGACTTCGCCGCCAGAAGGCGCGAATTATAGAAATGGTCGACTACTGGCATTATTCGAATTTCACAGAACACACTTAATTTATAACTACAACTAGTATTTTACACTTTTTTGGCAATCCTCGGGGGCGGACATCCGGGCATTTTCTACCGCCTGGCAACCCTCGCGGTGAAAACAAAGACCAAAAACTCACAGAAAACGGTACTTTGCGATGGTTGTTGAGAGTCCTCTGAACAGTGTAACAAGATTAGCCCTACGTGTGTAACATATATGAATTTGGTTGTTCGGGATTACTTCAAAGTTGAGTTTGTGTTGTTTTCTCGAGTTTTCACCGGCGTTCCACAGCAGCGCGCACAAAGCCCATAGAAATACGTGGTACAATGGTGCGCGTCTTAGCAACGTAGAACGTCCGTGACGTAGCTCCGCCCCCGAGGATAAACAAAACGACTAAAATTACATGCCTTTGTTTAAACATCGCCCACATCGACCAGATTTGGAAGCTTTCATTGGTCCAGGAGTGACCTGTAAAACGTGCATTTCAAAATCACGAATATCGACATCAACGCTACATTGTTAAACTCGTTGTCCAGGCAACCGATAGGTGTTCCTGATACGAAGTCACGTCCGGTATTGATGGATAAAAAAAAAGCAATTATTGGCGAATGTTTTAATTAGTGCTTGACCTAGAGGAAAGTACTCACTACAAATTATTACCCTAATTCGCTAGAAGTTGAATACATGTACATTACAATAGGAAATACATCTGCCGGACTCGCATACTGGCAATGTGTATGCATGACATTAAACATAACTTCTGTTGATTCCCTTAAAAATGTTTTCTAACATCGTTGACATAAATATGTGTTCTCGGTGTTTTAACACTACACAATGCTAGGTATAAGACGCCATGGCGTGGTCGTAGACCCGATTTGCCGTCCGTTCCCTTCTTTGTCTATACATTGGCTTCATGGGTGTAAAATCTTCAACGTTATTTGTTTGGAACATACACAAGATGTGCATTTCAATGGAGCCTCAGTGTAGCGGTTAGACACTGTAGGGTAAATATGGCGATGGGTGAACAGAATGGACAATATTTCCACGAATAATTAAGTTCAGACGACAAACTTCCATCAAAGTTAAGAAAGACGCTTGAAAGGACAACAACGTGCCGTGGTAGTATTCACTATTCAGTGGTATTACCTTTGGATATGTTTACACGGGAAATGGACAATAAAAACACACCATATTTTGAACAGGATGCAGGTTATCATGATCAAAAAAACGAACCAATTAGTGTTCACAATTTAACTATCTTAGATACAATAGCAAAATTTGGAACTGCCAAATTTCAGATTTCTGGCTTTTCCCCCTCCTCTTCATTGGAGACTTCAAAATAAGTCGGCGGAGTTTGTTTGTCGTTAATTCCCTCCGCCTCCTTCTTATCTTCGATCAACCGCGTCGTGTCCGCAGTTAAGTCTGTAGTTATTTCCGGCGACGAGAGGGCTTCTGCAGATTTTTCATCTTCATTTACAATCGGAGATTGTGTCACACCTTTGTCTTCATCCGTTGGACTAGGGGTGGTTGATTTCTTAGTTTCCTCGTTGTTTACCAAGAATCCGTTTGGATCATGTTCAGCAATCGGTGCCTGTATGTACCCATTCTTGCTCTCCGCGGCGGACTTTTCAGCGTCTTTCTGCTTTGAGTTGATCGCCAGGACCATCGGGCCTCTATTCTTTCTTATTGCTATCAGCTGATACACGATACAGGCGATTAGCACACATACAACCAGAACACCTATGATAAGAACGGCGATTTCCCAGGGTTCCCACATATCTGAAAAATGACAGTTAAATGCGCCATTAGGGGAATATCAACTAGAACATGTTGTGTGCATAATATATAGAGTAATATATGGAACATATCAAATGAAAACTACATAAAATATATTTGCAGGAAACAGCAACATTGCCAGTAAAAAAGCGGTTCATTAAAACTCGCAAAGAATCATCAATTTTATTTAACGATATTTTCGGATATTTTCCAGGCCTTAATAATGAGATTTTCCTGTCAATTCTAGCCTCCACATAACTGAGCGATAAAAAGAAAAATATATCATTTGTAAATTCCTTCATCACGTGGTGTGTGTGCCCGAGTACGGCGTTCGGCCGCCATTTTTGTATTAATGCCACATGGGACTCATGAACACTGTGCAGGTGCAAAGACTATGGTGCTTTAACCAAAACAATAAATAAAGGGCGGTAGTCGTCGCGCCACGCTTGCGGGAGATATATGGGTCTCATATAAACAAAGATGACGACTTTGATCAACGAGTACTAACTGAAACGTTTCCAAGCTTTAATTAGGTGATTGGAAGGTATCGAAGAAGTCACCGGCAGTATTCAGTGCAAGTCGCGCCATAGTCAAATTTCATACTTGTGATTTCCATTAGAAGAGCAGTAACCAGTAACAGTAAGATAAATATGAAATGATCAACATAAGCAAAAACAGCATCAACAATCTTGACCTATATTATCCAGTAATGGAAACAAGAATGACCTATTCCCAATTAACGCCTTAACCATAATATATGTCTATATTTGTTTTAATGTTAGTTTCCACAAGAAATACATTTGATGACCATCACATCCATCACCAAAAAGAGTTCACGATCTACAATTTATCACCCTCCAAATTCAGCCAAAAAAGCTACAGTATTTGAGAAAAAGTTGAACGGACGGACAGCCGAACGACAGACATACACAACATCAACACGGCCATACGGTTACCCGTTAATAATATTAAAAATGTATTATTCTATTCAAAGAAAAAGCGACGCTCATTCATGCGAATTAAACCAATTTACCTGTAATATTCATCTGACAGATTTGTTGATTATTTGAGTTAGCAGTAAAGTGGACACATGTGGATGCATCTAACCATGTAATTGAGCGGAGTGTAAAATTGTCTTTTACCGACTTGGATTAAGTGTAGTTTACCGTTTCACATAAATTATGCAAAATCGGTACTGCCAAAAATCCTATTTATTTATAACTTATTTCCATGTTAGATCACTGTGCATATATAAGAATGGCACACACGTGTCTCCTTTCATACACGAATACGCTCTATGAATACACTCGATTCAGTTCCGGATATTCAACTACAGTGTACTATTGTGCTAGATTTGTTGTTTGTTGTGATAGTGTCGCTTGGGATGGGGGTAGAATAAACTACGATAAGATAATATATGAAAGAATAATATGTGTAGATGAATATATAGACTAAATTGAGACACTTTCTTCTGTTTCTGTTTAAACTACTACCCCAACAAAAATAATGGTCAAAGCATAATATGACAGAATCCCACACCCTCCCCGTGGCTTTCGTTGCGTGAT